CATAGACGGTTGAGAGGAATTGAAAAATAATTGAGACGGAAAATCAGAGTCAAAGGATGATAGAAAATAAATTTGATAGTTTTTCTAATAAGATAAGAAATTGGGCATACAAGGTGAGCACTAGGCATCAATGGGTGGCAAATGTCAAAAGTTGGCAAACATCAAATGATTTTTGATATGAAGTGCAAAATGTAGGGCAATAAAGGGTGATCATATTTGCTGATCTCCTAATAAAAATGGATGATGAAGGACATCTGACTTGATCATTTTCTTGATATGAGAGGAGATTATTTGAGGAAGTCCAAATCTACAAAGGAAACAATAAAGGCTAAAGAAAAGTGTAATATTTATTTTACTTTTCAAAGATATTATTAAGCTACTAAAATGCTTGCCTCAAAAAAATATTTTTATTTTCATGTTTACTATAAGTTCTCAATTTTAGTTTATTAGCTTGTATGCTTGTAAGTTGTAAAATTTGGTATCATCCATCGTAGGGGTGTCAATTTCGGGTCACGGGTCAGGTTCGGGTATAATGTGAAATTGACCCGGCATTATTTAGGTCAACTCAAACTCGACCTATTTTGACAAACAGGTCAAGTTTTCGGACCTGAACCTGACCCGCTTTGGGTCAGGGTCAACCCAACATGACCCGAGACAGACCAAAAATTGCTAGTTTTCGGTTCAAAAAATGGGTCAATATCCGATTTTTGGTCAAAAGTGGGTTAATCTTGGGTTTTCCGATCAAAAATGGATTTTCGAGTCAATTTCAGGTTGTTGGGTCAACTCAAACCCCACCGGTTTTTGAATTGGGTCGATTTGCTAAACTCGAATCCGACCCGTTTCAGGCCTGGGTTGACCCTAACCTAGAATTTTAGGGTCGATTTTTCGGGTCATGTCAAATATTAATACCCCTAATCCTCTGAATCATTTGGATCCAACAAAAAGGATTTACATGCATAACCCTTAATTAGTATCTTATTTACATATCTATCATCTAACATTTTATATTTACTCATATACACTCACATGTTTAAATAACTTAAAAAATAACACAAGGGGTGAAGCCGGTGTTGAAGAGTTTGGGATCCAAGTTTAAAGAGAGTGATATGTGATTAAATTGGAAGTTTTGGATATTAAAATTTTAAAAATATGATAGAATTAAAGGTGATATCAATAATTTTTTTATGTATTTATATATCTATCATCATATTTATACTTATTTACATATCATTCAAATCTCTAAATCACAATAAAAGCATCACAAATATTATCTTATTTAAAGTGAAAGATATATATCTTGTATATGTTGGACATGTAAATATATATGAGTTTTATTATATGTATTTATATGCCCATAGAATAAAATAGGGGAATTGGCATAACTAACACTCAAATATATATCATTTACATACCTAACACTCAAACTTCACTATTTACGCAATATGATATTCCATTAAGTTCTGTTAATAGCATTGCAAACACCTCATCATAATCCTCGTTGAACTTTCCCGACCACCAAAGAGAGGAGGAAGTTACCATGAAATCTAGCTGGGCCAGACAACATTGGGGTCGACAACATGCGTATGACAAAGAAACAAGCAAGTTACTATAGAAACTCACTAGATGGGACTAGCCACAAGTAAAAGATGAAGCAATTGTAGGAGGATTCATGAGACCAATAGAGCGGCAAAGCCTTAACAAGGGATTCATGGACAAAGAGGCCAACATTTAATGAAGACGACAGGACTGACAAGTCACAATAAGGAGGTTGGTGGAGCTGAGGATATTACGATGGGTGATTCGTTTCATCGGTGATGTATGAAAGAGGACAAAGAGATTGAAGATGTGTGCGGAATGATGGGACTAGCAACATGCAAGGAAAGGATTTTATTTATACCATTAATTAAAGTTTTGAATGCCATAGATATAAATAGTAAAAATTTAATTATTATATACATATATGTAAATCCACCATTATTGTACGAAAATCATCTCCTCCCCACCTCAAAAAAAATAATAATAATAATAATAATAATAAAATAAACACTTTCAGGCTCATAAACACTCTGATAAAAATTAATTCATAGGACTTCCGACCAAACGTTTCCGGTTTTGGATAAGGAGGAAAGCTGATAGGAATGGACGCAGGCCAAATTGCCCTTCCCATCATCGGCATAGCAGCCGCCGCCGCTGTTGCCTTTTACGCCGTAAGCTTTGCCGAGCTGCGTGAGGTACTATTCTCTTCCTAAAACCCACACCGATTTCTCATAAGTTCCATTTTTTTCTTTACTTGCATTGATATGGATGCTTCTTCTCATCAACAGAAATCTTTCAAAGAGTTGGAGGATTCGGATTCCGAAGCTAATGGTGGCGGTTTCATATCTTCAGCAAGTTCTAGAGAGGTAAGGGCAAGGAGGAAAGCTGAGAAAGAAGCTAAGAGAAGAAGTT